CCTAGTAATAGGAGACTAAAGACTTCCAGTGAACAAAGACACTCATAACTTGTGTCATGCCCCTAGAAAAATTAATAGGTAATAAAAAATATGTTCTGATATACAATACGCTATTATTTTTTAACCCCAAAAACAGCAGAGAAAATTTCATCATGCTTTCAGTTACAACCGTAAATTAGTCAATATTCCAAGAAAATAATACTACCTAAAGTTACTGATAGATTGAACTAAAACCAGGTAGGTGACTTTTGAAGCATCATTATTAATATAAAACATCTCATAACTTTCTTGCAGCAATGCACATAATGTAGGTTGTTAATGAGGATGTAGAAAAACCGTTAAATTGCACCTGTAAGTAATTTTGAGGGCTATTCCCTGAAAAACTTGGGTAGCAGCACTACTAGAAGCCTTTCAACATCTCAGGAGAAAAAGCATCCATGATAGTAAAATCAGCACCAGTAGCAGCAGAAATAGCAGTATGATCAGTAGCAGTAGCAAAGCAGTAATACTAATACAGTCATCAGCAGCAGCAGCATAAGAAGTAGCATGAGCATCAGCTGCAGCAGTGGTTGGCTGGTGGAAGTTCAATATCAGCTGCAGCAGTAGTGTTCAACATCCACAGGATCACCACTTATTTGGAGGCAGACCAACATTTGCAACACACAACACTCACCTGCACAAGAAAATGTGTGTAAGTAAGGCAGATATATAAAAAAATCAATACATGCATATCTACATTGAAAGAAATGATAAACATTCTTTTAATAAGTTATTGCAACAATAGTGATCTCATTACAAAATATAACATTTATATTAATTTTTTATTATGAAGAGTTTAAGATGGCTTGAGAGATTGATAGATGGCTTTCACATAATAATAGGCCTGATATGGACAGGCTACAATGAATACCATGCCTATAATAATAATTTCTTAATCATTGGCGGCTGGTAACAGGCCTATAAGATACTGTACTTATGCCAGCAGATGCTGCACTTATCATGCCATTCCTTACTGAAAACTGTACATGTACAATACTTGTCAGGACAACCTTTCATATGTTTTGTTTACTACATAGGTAATTATGAAACTTTTACAATCTTTTAGAAAATTAGGGTTCAGTTTCAATTGCATAATGGACTTTCTTTTTCAAGTCTGTCAACTTCATTTAAGGAAATTGACAGAAGCAACCCACAAATGGGGCAAAAACACCTATGCTCGTTGTCAAATTCATGTATTATTCTTGCCCTTGTTTAACATTTCACAAAAAAAAAATAAGAAAAATTACCTCTGGTAAATTTTTCCATGAACTGCAAGTAAAAACTGTTGTTTAGTCAAGTTCCAAATACTATAGGCAAAAATGTGTCAGATTGGCACTTTTTGGAGGTTTTTAACTGTGACCAGAGTACCATGGGCCTATGGCAACAATAGGAGCATTGATGGTAGATGAAATGTCAACTTATCAAGTACGGTATCAATTACTAACAAAAGTGCACGATCAAGCCACAAGATTTTAAATTTATTGAAAAATATTTCATTTATGAGCGATGAGAATTATGAATAAAGCAAATAATTTCTAATCTTTTAATTATTCTTGTTTGCTTTCAAGGGATTTAGATATTAATATAACAATGATTCATAAAGTTACCCATTAGTCATCTCATTACACAGAAAGCCATCCAAGAAAAACATTATAAATTTCATGATGGAGCAACAAAGAAACAAATTTATTTCTGATATAGGCCTAGGACTTAAAATTATCTTTGGAAGTTATTTTTAATTTCAATCAGTTCCTGTACCGAGTTTAATAATTGAGCAATCTATGAAATAAAATTCAATAGAACTGAACAACAGTAAGCGTTAGGTATTGAACAATCAACTTGAAAGTTGAAGTAGCCTAGTTTTGATCCTAGATAAATTATCATAAAATCTCATAATAGGCTAGCCTATCTTGCAATTTGTTACACTAATAGCCTTGCTTAATAGGTGAGTATTTTTTTTTATTTATAACATTTGTAATGATAAGTACCTAATTGTTAATAGGTAGTAATTGTAAAAACACCAGCAATGACCAGCTTATTGAATAGAATTATTGTTCCACACTCCACAGTAATAATCTTAAAAGACTTTTCAGACAAGCTACGCATAGTAATTCATGACCAAACTTTCGGACAAATAAATTATATTTGCTAATAAAATTCATAATTCAATGAGGTATACTAGCTATTAGCTAAAATGTGATTTGGTTCCAACAATGGTTAGCTCAGCTGGGATAAGCATGACCCATACTACAAGGCCACAACATGAATTACTTCAGAATCGAATCTACTAGTCGGCATACATATAGAGGAAGAATTTAAAAAGAAATTTAATATTACTTGCCTGGATTAGGCTGCTGAGGATTGTCTTGACCACCAGTTTCTCTCTGAGCCATGGTTTGGAGCAAGATCTTTCATGCAACTCCAGACAAAACTTGCACGATCTTCTGCAGGCCGCAGAACGCTGTGTCTAGACGATAATCATGATCGCAAACATGCAATTCTAAAATTAAGTTGCTTTTATATTGCTAAAAGTTATTGCAATCTTTTTCTTTTTCATTAATTTGAATTTTCCTACAGTATTTTATTACATTTTTCGCCAATGGATGTAATTTTATTGAAAATTTCAGTACAAAGGTCCTATGACGTCATATGGCACCAAAACAAACCAACTGCGCAACAATACATGTCAACAATTCCTAATTAATGGAATGAACAAAAGTCTTAGTTACTAATAATGGTAACTCGATTTTTTAATTATTATATTACCAATATATCAGAATACTGCAGCAATTTAAGATCCAGCTCTGATACTACATAGTTATAGTAAAAACAATTAGGCTAGTCGAAAATTATGAGAGTTAAAAATATAATTGACAAATCAGTCGAAACATAAGTTGAAAAGAGTGTTACATGGTAGCTGCGTTTTAAGGTTGACAAGTGTCAAGTACTTCACTTCTGTAAGAAAACAATAAACATCAATCATAAATCATGCAGTTAGAGAAGACATGGTTGCAATAATAATAAGGCGGCATGCAGGGTTTATATCTTGGTCTGCGACTTCTTAGTTCGTACAGCTCTTCTTGGCGATATGAGGTACGTAGTGCATGTTCACGCTGAGCGATGGCTCTTGGGATATTTTACAAGTTAATTTTGTTGCCAACGGCTGCGCTACCGAAATTTCAACGAATCCAGCAACGTAGCTTGAACTATGCCGCTGTCCATAACTGCTGTCAAAAGCCGCATTTAGATTGACTGGGAAAATCATTGATTAGAACGTAGAATTAAGTGAGTGATATTTTGATCAATTTTATGTCAACATTCCTCGAACACAGCTGAATGCATTGCATTTTATTTGGGCATGCACCGGATAAGACCCCCCAAAGGCTGAAAGGCGTTGATGAGAGTAATGAACATGTCTCAACAATTTTATCACTTTATTTCAAGAATTTGATATTACCTTCAAAAAGACAGCAATTGAAAACAAATACATGACATTTGCAAAATGCGCAGTGACAGCTGAATAATTAATTACCATTTAATATGTGGCCGTCTCAAGTAAAATGAAATTGTCAATACAATTCATGTATTATCCCAGCGAGGAATAATTTAAACAATTATGTGTCACCGTTCACGTTAAAAATAATTGAGATAAGCAGTCTTGCTGTTTCGGATACCGTTCTCTTGAGTGCATGATACAAAAAAGGCACATTTTTAGTGTCTAAATTTATTAACAGTTAATTATTTTTGTACATGGAATGAAGCAATGCGCATCAACATGGCGGCGATGGTTACAAATTGGTGAAAAAAATTAATTACAGTAAGAATTCACCAACCAACAATTAATTATCAATGAACTAATTATCATGAGGAAGATATCATACATAAAATAAGCACAAAATAAATCAAGTTAAATTATGGAGGATGTGTCAGCTTGGTTACAACGTAAATCGATGTGAAACACATCTGATTGTGTAAAAATCAATACATTTCAATGAAATCATTCAAATCAACGAAGACAAGAATTACATTCTTGCAAAGACCTTAAAATCTCCCCTGGTAACATGTTCTCAGAGTTCGTTTAGCGAAACCAACCGAAGGCCATACTGCAAGTACCACCTTCGAAGGCAATCAAGTCGCCAACCAGCGACTCTGAGAAATAAACTGAGCTTCTTAAGACTCAAACCCGCGACTTGTTCCGTTTTTTTTTCTGTGCCGCTATCATTGCGCAAACAGTACCGCAAGTCACAACGCTACAGCGGCAACAAGGAAGAGTAACTGACTAAAGAGAAATAAATTGATCCCACAAGTGAAAACAGGCCAAAGGAAACAGATTTGAATCGAGTAAGTTCGATTGCTGGCACCGCAGGTGCAAAGCAATCGAACTTGCACAGAAATACATAGTATTAATATATAAAACATCAATTCTTCCTGACAATTGATAATTAATTACACAGTCAATCAATTGAATATAATTGCAGTCGTAATTCTTCAAGTGAACACACACCGAGAACACGTTGGTCGATATCATGAAAGTCGAAATGAACACACTTTTATACCAAACCTTCGGTGTCAAAAACTTATTACAAGACGATGCTCGGGAACTCTTTTGGTAAACAATTAAAAAATCTCTTTCCCCATTCATAATAATTTAAAATCAATTACAAAATCTCTTTCCCCATTCATAATAATTTAAAATTTAATGTGTTCTTTAGCGCATTTTCTTATTTATGGAAAAGATGCACTATTGTACTCGCCATGTCCGTCTGTCCGTCCGTCTGTCTTTCCGTCCGTGACTTGACGCTTTCGTCGACGAGAAAATGCGCTCTGTCACTCACTGCAGTGAGTACTGAGTTACATTTTTTTACACTATACAGATGCATATAAATATCTACAATTTCAAACAATGATCACCGCCTATTAATCAAAGAACATAAATTAAATCGATGTAGCCAAAAATTTACATTCGGTGCCAAAAACTAATAACAAGCCGAAGCTCGGGAACCGTTTTGGTAATCAATTACAAAATCTCTTTCCCCATTCATAATAATTTAAAAATTAATGCGATCTTTTTACACTACACAGATGCACATAAATATCTACAAATTTCAAACAATGATCATCGCCTATTAATCAAAGAACATAATTTCATGGATGCAGCCAAAAATTTGCTCTTGTTCAATACAGTAAAAGCGAAATTACTAAAATTATGCTTATAGTCTCAAATTCGCAAAATGAATTTAATTGTGGTTGCTTAGAAAATGTTACCTTTCATAATTTTGCTACGTTAATTTGCTTTAGATGATGCACAGACCCAACACATTAGTTCAGACGACCATTGTTCAAAACGGGATCCTTTTGTCGGACGCGTTTAGTCTCGTCTAACGATTGGGTGATGGGCTAGTAAAATAACTTAAATTTTTAAGCAACATCGGAATCAATAAATTATAGTCAGAAAATCGACTGAAGCTGGTGGAAACAGAAACAGAACTAAACTGTTTCTATAATGTGTAAATTTTTTCCTTCTAAAAGACTTTCGTCCATTAAAAGTTACCCAAAACACCGGCCAACTTTGGGTTCCCGCAAGATACCCAAAAGAACTCCGCATTCCGGCGACTAGTAAAAATTAGTGTTTGTAATTACGCTTGTGGAATCGCAAACCACACTTTTGTTTAAAGCTTTTCAAGCAGACGTCGCAAGTGAACTCCTTGAAATCAGAATGGCATCTCATGTGGTCGGTGAGCCCCTCTTTGCGGGTGAAGGCTCTGTCGCACTGCTGACACTGGTAAGGCTTCACGCCCGTATGGATGCGCTCGTGTTGCTTCAGGTAGTCTTTGCGCGAAAAACACTTCTGACAGTAACGACACATGTGCGGCCGGTCGCCCGTGTGAGTCTGAGGAGAATGGAAAAATTACGTTTGGTTTTTAGAATGATTCATAATGGAAATTTTATAATTAAACAGTGTAACTAACTGCGTAGCAGAGTAAGTAAGAACATTGTGTTATTGGTTATTAAAAGTAATTACCATACCATCCCACTATGGTATGATAACCCCATCAAATATAACAACACAAGTTGCGTTGCTATACTATGTAGAAGTTAGAACATGTATTAAAAAAGTAAACCTTCAACCAACATTCAGACTTGCAATTAAGCATATGATTGCTCTATATCAAAATATCACGCATTGATTAATAATTGGAAAAATGACTAACAATGTGGCAATTGAAATATTTTAGGATCAACAGAAAGTATATAGGAGAAAGTATAAAAATTTGTTGATTTCAGGCACTTGGCAAGGGTAACCGCGCTGTACGGACCAAGCTCCTCGGGTCTATATATGCATTTTAGGTATGAAGCTTGCGAATGGGGTGCAACGCTGTATCCCATAGGCGGTCGAGCATCATTAAGTCTAAGGTGTGTCGTAAAAACAGTAAATCACTATCCATCTTTGTATCAATGACCTCCTTTCCAAAAATACTCGACCAGCGGGCGGCTTAAAGGGCTCTACGTGCTTTCCTCAAGTGATGCGCAGACGTAATATAGACACGATGCGGCTTGGATGTTGCTTGGGGAAGTGAGAAATAAGAGGGCATATTTGTCGGCACAGGGTACATCCCCAGCAAAAGCCCGAGCCGAAGCAGCGGATCATGATTTGTCTCGATGATACCAGCTACTGCGACACGGTGGTTTACGGGGCACCAATGCCGTCTATACGTGGTTCAAAGGACAGAGGCGAGTGTGATTAAACGAAACAAATGACTTTAGCCAGCGGGGCCATGACATTTGAGGCAACCGCCGTCCCAATCTAAGCTCCATCAGCGGCGCAAATTACACGCAGTGGATCTGAAGATGGCGCGACAGTTTCATTATGGTGTCTTCGTTCCAAAGGTCCACATAAAATTCGACAAGAAAGCTGGTCCACGATGGTCGCGTAGGAAGGGGACTTAGATGATGCTTGTGGCATGAAAAAAGCATTTGCTGGACATTTTTGTAAATTAGTTTATGCTTGACTTAGAGTAATAATGTTTATAGCTAGATTTGACTCACCGCCAGTCTAATGAATCCTCAGATCATATGGGAAACATTGCGGCGCAAGCACAGAAAGTTTGGCAGTTGGCGCGCTAATAGCATTGACGTGGTGACTAATAAGCCTTGCAACTAATGTTCCTTGTAGCTCATTTCATCCACGCAATGCACCATGTCGGTTCGTCAGCGCTTTCCTTTTTTCCTCCGCCGTGAGTGCTTCTTCAAGGGCGCATGAAGATATGCGAGTTCATTCTTGACAATCATTTACACATGGAATCACGGAATGACTAATAAAATTTTCCTATTTTCTCTTATTGCAGCCGAAGGCATATGAGCGAGAACTAAACGACTCCTGATAATAACCGTAAGAGAGTAAAGATTCAGAAAAAACATTAGAAAAGGCAGGCTGTGAGCCATTGGTGCCCCTCAGAAGATGTCTCTTCTCTTAATTCAGACAGGTTAAAACAGAGCGAGGTGTTCTAGGAAGATAAATTCTCTACTGCAGCGTCCCTGTAGTTGGGCGGGCAAACCAGAATCAACGAGAGAGGATACTCTTCCCACGAACAGCCTGGGTCCGAGAAGGATGTCGTTTTGTAGCTCCCACACCATATCAAGGTCCTTAAAAGCAATAACCACTAAGTGGCAACGACGTTACCATTACCATATTGGTAGGGTAGCGGAAAGCAGTCAAAGTTGCTGCCTGCGACCGTGAGACACGTGCCACTTCCCTCCGAAAACTAGGGTTGAGTCCTAAACCTCATCGCATTTTTCAAGCCCTTCCTTTCCCACAACTTTATAGCGGTACGGCAAATTTAGCTCCTCTGCTAAGACGGCAACACAAATCACACTGTCAACTTAGCATAAATAATGAAACTTTATACAAAGGAACGTGAGAATTACTTTGAGGTGATTGGCCAGGTTATCCCGCCTGGTGAAGTCGTGGCCACAGAGAGGACACACGAACGGTTTCTTTTGGTTATCGCCGCTTTCGTCGTCCAAACTCTCTTCTTTGTTGGGAAATCGACCGCCAGGTCCAATGATGAACTGGGAGCCGTCCTCACTGAGGTCAACTTGCAGCACGTCATTCTGTACGACGAACAAGTCAGGAATGGTTGAAGTTATCCTTACGCGTAGAAAGTTTGCTGTAGATATGCAACTCAATAAACAAAAGACACGCCACTAAGTAGAGCCAATAAACCACGACTGAAATCCTGTGACTGATCGTCACAAACGACGAGTTAGAATAATTAACTTCCAGCAAAATAAACCCTGGTTCATGGATGATTTTTGTATTGAGTACAACAATATGCAAAGTAAACTTAATCTTTACGTCGTAGTAATAATTAACAAATATCGTAATAATCGTTATTAATTATGACAACGTTATTATTTATTTTTACCAACAGGATCCAGCTGCTCGTGTATTCAACGAACATGAATTATATATAGGCAACCGAAGAAGATTTTTTCAAATACAACCAACAAGTTTCAATGCAGACAAACCGTACCGTATCATCATCGTTGTCTAGGGGGCCGTTGGAGCGGAAGACTTCCTCCTTGACTAGATTGGAGACTGAAGACAGCAATGAAGCCTCGTCACAATCTTCATTACGCTGTAGGTCGTCGTCTCCGACAACGCTGTTATTCGGCATCTTTGAAACAAACATAAATACATAAGCTGATGCTTCGTAATCTCTTCTAGTTTCTTCATACTGTGGCGTTCTGCATTACGTTTTCCACTTAAATATTTGTTAACGGTTTCCTTTACCTTCGATATAATATGATTGTATGGTCGATAAGTCTAATAGTCGTGTAGCTGCTTATTCACAGATCATTTATGAATATTCTTGATTGCAAATAATATCCATCTCGACAATGTGAAAAAATAAATTCTCAAATCAGTAAAAGATTCGCTAACAAAGAAAAAAACTAAAAGACTCATAAACCCATTTACAAAAATTGTTTATTTTGCAATCATGAGAAGAAATTAACGTTAGTAATATTAACACCACCATGAATTGCTGCGATAAATTCTTAGCTTAGCATCAACATTATGTGGGTTCACGCTTCTGAAAAGGATTGATGTTTATCATCAATACGATAATTTTGTGTCAGCATTTGACGTGACTAACTTTTTCAGGAGAGATGAGAGCAGGTTGCGGGTCGTCGCTGGAAGAAGACGAGCGGTCAACCGATCCTTCTTTGGCGCCGAAACAAACTCCGTTGCCCATGGAAGCATCTTTCGAAATGCCACCCAACGACGCCTTAAGAAGAAGTCCGTTAGAAGAGGTTTTTCTTTATGATTTAGTTTATGCTATTATTGAAGTAGAAATAAAATGCACTAAACTTCGTCTAACGTACGGTTTAAGAATAACGGAGCTGATGAGTGATGATGCTTCTTTTCAAGTGTTTTATCACACCATGGATACATTTTATAAAATATTATTGTGGGATCAATCTTGAATATTCGAACCCGTAACTTAATGCTCTAATCTTTCTGTTCAAAACCATTCGGCCTGCTAAAAATCCAGGCATAAGCAAGAGGGCGTTTACTCGCTATTACGAACATTCTCAAGCATTGACAAGTTTCCATTCCCTTCCCCAAATCATTCGCCGACGTCAACAATCTCATACCTTCACCAGGTAACGTCAACGATCCAAGGAGATCATTACCTTGGACGTGCTGGCCAGACAAGGCCCGTTCACGGGGCTCGGGGCGACTTTCTGGCGTTTTAGTTGAGGTGGGCCGCAAAGACGCCCATGAGGGGACGTTTCCTGAGCAGGTGAGTTGACTTGACCAGCAGCGCCTCCGCTGTTCTGAGGCAGAGGTGTCAGTCTTGGAGGCTCGTCTTTCTTAAAAGATCCGTCTGAAAGCAACAAATTCAAATTGAATAACATACTTTGAAGCATTCATTATGGAATATGGAGTAGAAACTGATTAAACGATGAAAAATGCTGAAAGTTTGACTTGATAAATGATACTTCATAATCTTCAAGGAAAATATCATGTACAAATTTCCGGAAGCGGTTTTCCGGGAAAATTTAGACGCATCGGAGAAAATTCACAAAAAAAATTCTTGTAAGGATAATTGTGAACTGATTACGATACAGAGGAGGTTCAGCCTTTCCAAATAAACCATCTAAAATCTGAAAATATAAAAACTAACAATAAGGATAAATAGAGATTCTGAATTTTGCACCGTGTAACTTCAGACGACGTTCAATTAGGATGTGAAACCAACTGATAAAAAAGAATAAGAACTGTTCACGCTTGGTTATTATTTGTTTTCTCAAACAATATGGAGCGCTGCTGATATAACATTTATTGAGGTACGATAGTATTATACTAGTAATAGAGGGGTAAAATGAAATTATTAGGTGCTTCGACATTTTAACCAATTCCCTACGCACTTAACAAAATTCATAGATTTGCTTCGCATAGTCCTAACAAAAATAGCTTCCACGATTGTAAAAGCTGCTAACCTGCACTTCTTTTCTTCTTGGGGACGAGCGTGGCGATTCTTGATGGGGAGGTAGAAAGTTGAGGAGGTGGTACCCTCAACTGAGGAACTGGGGAAGACACCCTGGGGCTGTCAGGGACCGCTAGACCCTTCACTTGTAGCCCCTCCGCCGTGCGCAGCAGCGAAGGCACCTCTGTCTCCGCCACGTGAACTTCGCCCTACAAGAAGTACGTTGTTAATACCACGATAAATCCAGGAGTTATTAATTTACATAATGTGAATGCCATCTTGTGAACAATCAATTCTAAACACACATCAACTTCAGCCTTCACGAATTCACCATTAATGTTTTCTTGTTTCTTAAAGTACGCATACACATACTTTGCACTAGCCATCATAATAATGAGAAACGAGGGGCAGAAGTTTGTGTTCTTTAACTCCGATTGTTTAAGCTTTTCGGAGTAAGTTTGAGAATAGTAGAGCAAATCTAGACCCAATCCAGAATAATCTTATTATTTTGTCCAGAAACTGGTGAATAATACGTGGAATGGCGCTCGGAAAATACAGTATAGCTACTACCTTTTATCTGAGAAACCGAGACCTCGAATTCGATTTCTCTGAAAACATAAAATTCTACGTTTACATTAGGAGCTGAATCTGCACCTTGTACATGAAGTCGAGGAGCGCCTCCATGTCATGCGGAGAGACGTCCCTCATGTACACCACAGGATGCTTGCAGGGCGTGCGTGCTATCATCTCCTTGAAGTAATCGCTGCACGTCGCCAGCACGAACTTGTGCGCTGAGAAGAATTGCCCGCCGCAGGACAGCGTCACATCACAGTAACTTTCCTGTCAAACAAAGAGCCGTGAGTTAAATTGTGGTACTTGAAACGTACTGGATAGGTTTCCATATATCAACGCACTAATGCGCTTCGTCAGACAAGCTTCCAAATTGAATTCTTCTTCTGCGTTGAGATACGCGTGTTATAAATTGAATAAATAGAAAAGGCTGTAAATTTTTATCAAAACTAACTGCGATTCGTAGATCATCGAGAGTCGTTGCGAAGATGCTCTGGTGGTTGTTCCATCGCAGCGCCAAGTATCCGCTGGACTCAGACATCTTGCCGGGCGCTTCACTTCGCCGAAGTTGCAGTGCTCAAAGTTGATCGCGTGACGCTTGTGCTTCTAATGGCGCGTGAACGACTATCTGGAAATATATCAATTATTAGAGATCAAATATCAGCATAAATCATAATTATGAAACTACTGAATCAAAGATCCATAAATTCAATTATCAACCACAACTAAGACTTGTAGTCTAATACAGCGCGCTCTGGAGGTCACCTGGCAGCAACGCTAATGGAATGCACATTGCACAACTTGAAAGAACACAAGCCAAGAAGAGCATCCGAAAATCACCAAAGGGGAACATGAGAAAATTCAGCTCTAGACTCGAGTGATCAACCCAAAATAAATACTATGCGGCCTCTATCTAGTAGTTTATTCAATTAAAAATCGAGCAAAAAGGGATACGTTTTCGAACGAAAACCGATTTAACCATTGCATAAAATGTGTATTGAATCGTTATATGTTCTTACACTATCCCGATAGCGGCGTTGACTAAAGAAACAATTCTACGGTTAAATCGTGCTAGTATCTTTTCCGCCAAAAAGATTATTATGAACAATTTGTAGCTAATTTTTCTTAATTCTTAGAGTCTCAAATATCGCGGATCAGATTCGTGAAAGTAAAGAAATTCCAACATAATTGAATCCTTTTAGAGAATGAAAGCTATATATTGCATAACAGAGAGAATTATCCATTCTATTTCATCACAAATGAGAGAAGGGTTTATCAACGACAAAATTTCCTCACGTTGGAGAAATATTTGAAAAATT